GCCTAGTCTTTCTTCATCGTTGTCGTCCGCCTCATTTTTCCTCCTCCGCCTTCCACTGGCCCTCCTGTTCCTCCCGATACTTCCGCTTTAGTTTCTGCTGCTGCTGTTCCTCCTCGTCCTCTTCCTCCCGCTCATCGTCCTGCTCACCCGCCACCTCCTCCTCCAGTGCACGCAGCTCCTCCTTTTTTGTTCCGATTGGGCATAACACGAAGTGGTCTTCTTGTGGAAGTCGCAGGTCGACTATGGCACGCGTCCGCGGATAGAGAAAAGCCAGCGCCACGGGAAGGGATGGAAGGGAGGGACAGGATGTCAGATGAGGCGCAAGCGCACCTAGCTTGGCCTCCTACCCCTCCCCCCCCCACCTCCCCCCCTCCCCTGTTCCGGGCCATGCCACTCGAAGAGCGGGAAGGAGGTGCTGTCCCGACTGCACCGGGGCCTGCCACCAAAGTCGGGCACGGCTTCTCCTGATCGTAGCCGGTGTGTTCCAGCGGCCTACCTGGAGCAGGACCCCCGCGGACACCAGAATTAGAATTAGAAGGCTCCCCTCCCCTGCTCCGCCGAGGCCGAAAAGAAGAGAGGGGCGCCTCATCCTCCTCCTCCTCCTCCTCCTCCTCCTCCGCCTCCTCCTCCTCCTCCTCCTCCTCCTCCTCCTCCGCCTCCTCCTCCTCCTCTCCTCCTCCTCCTCCTCCTCCTCCTCCTCCTCCTCCTCTCCTCCTCCTCCTCCTCCCGTCCTGGCCCATCTGGCTGCCCCGGAAGAGCACCAGCCTGCGCTCCTCGAGGGCCCCCGCCTCGAGGGGGGCGGGGGGGGGAGGCGCCGAGGCAGGCGCGGCGCCCCGGGGCCGCCTGGCCCATGCCGCTCCAAGTGTGCTCTGCGCGGGGCAGGCGTAGCTCGACCGGGATACGACGACACCGACGACGACGACGACGACGATGATCGTAGCGTCGGGATGGTAGGGGAATTGAAGAGCAAACGGGGTGGGCGCTGTGGCCAACAGATCCTGCCGACCCTCCTCTTTCTCCTCCGCCTCCTCCTCCTCCCTCCCTCCCTCCGACCCTCCCCACCTTCCTCCTCTTCTCGTTAATTACGTTGAGTCAGTGCTCTTCGCATCAATATTAGCATTAGTGGCCTTTTACATAAATGTTCGTGCTACTATTACTTCTCCTCTTCCTCCTCCTCCTCCTCCTCCTCCTCCTCCTCCTCCTCCTTCCCCCTCCTCCTCCTCCTCCTCCTCCTCCTCCTCCTCCTCCTCGATTCGGTGCGATGAGGGTCACGATTCTAACGTGATGGATCGCTGCACTCTACCATCCTTCAGCGTCGCCTTGGACACATCCCCTCCCCCTCTCTGTTCCACGCTCTTCCATTCGTCGGCAACCTCTGTCTACACACGGTCCACTGCATCCTGCACCCCTGCCCTGAATCGGTCAACGAACTCCCAACGTCTAGACGAATTTTTCTGGCACGCGCTCAACCTTGGAGACGAGGGGGCGGTCGAGATCTCAGAGAGAAAAAGGAAAGCGCGACAGCAAATAGGAGCATGCACGCTCGCTCTGGGGACGGAAACAGTGGATATGATGCCCAACAGCTGATATGATCCAGATCCGACAGCGGCCGCAGTTGGGCAGGCGGCCTTCGTGCCCAACGGACTGCGTCCGCGGCGACACCGACAGCGAGTCCTACCCAAAGCCTCTGCTGTCGGTTTCCGTCCCCGCTCTCTCCGCCCCCACTGCGACCGTACCGAGTGCCCCGGGACAACGAAGACGATGGCAACAAACCCGCAGAACCCGTCTCGCTCAAGGCCCGCTTGCTTCATGGCGAGACTGGCGGCATTAGGCATCTGCAGCGGAACGTTTTTTGCGTCGGCGGCGAGGCAGGGGTCGTCTGCGCTGGCGGAAAGGCCAAACCGGGGGTGCCGTCAGAGCGAATCCATGCAGGAGGGGGACCAGTCTGCAGCGGAACGCAAAACTGCACAAACCTAAACTTCCAGAGGTCCGCGCGGATTCCTCGGATCGGCGCTGGGCCACCCTCCCCGGCGCGCGGAGAGCGCAAGGGGCGGCGCCGGAGGCGCGGATCCGAGAAATCCGCGCGGAGTGACGAGGGTTCATGTTTATGCGGTTCGTCCCTCTCCGAAAGTAGCGACATTATAGCACGCAAGAGGACACACTAGTCCTGTGCGTCCTCCTTGCAGACGTGCGTCCGACCCGAACATATAAAATTCCCACCTGGTAGTACATCGGCTCCCAAGAGCCATGGCCACGAGGCGCCCGCCACGGAGCTTGTACTAGAAGACTTCTCGGCGCGCGCGTCGCTCCGAGGGGGGCGACGCCCACATACGTAGCATCAGTAGATTTGGGTGGCGCCGACCTACCTTCTGCCAAAGTAGCGGCGCCACGCAGTGGGCGGGCCGACGAGTTCGCATGCTGGCCTGGAGCACCAGGGCAGCGGTGCCGTCGCCCCTGTTGTAGCCGTCGGCCGACCGGTCGAAGGTGAAGCAGCGGCCGCCTGCGGCAGCCGCGCGGAAGCTCCGGCTTCACCCCACGCGCTCTTCCTCCTCCTCCTCCTCTCCTCCTCCTCCTCCTCCTCCTCCTCCTCCTCCTCCTCCTCCTCCTCCTCCTCCTCCTCCTCCTGCTCCTCATCCTCCTCCTCCTCCTCCTCCTCCTCCTCCTCCTCCTCCTCCTCCTCCCCACCATCATCCTGCGCCCTCGTCCCCTCCTCCCCTCCGCGCCAGGCTCCCCCGATATTGTCCTTCTCCTCGCTACCCGTCCCTCCCCCCCATCCCAGCCCCTCCAAGCCTCCGTGCTCCGCCTAAGGGCTTCTCACTGCTCTGTGGGAAAGACGGCGGGGGGACGGCCTGATTCCGAGGCGGGCCTCGGCCCTGCTCGGTTCCCCTAAGTCTCGGTCTCTGCCCTCTCGGGCTCCTCTGGTCTGTTCCGTGGTTCCCGGGTCCTTCCTCGATTCCCCCGTCTTGTTCCTCACTACCTTCCTTTCTCGTGATCCCCAATATTGCTCCTCGGCTTCCCCGGCCTTGTTAAGCACTGCCAGGCAACACCAACCAATGCCAAGCAAATAAAACAATAAGCAAGCAGCGCCAAGTCATGCCAAGCAATACCAAGAAAATGCAAAAAGCAAAGACCTGCCAAGCAACGACAAGCAACACCAGGCAATGCCAGGCTAGGCCAAGCAATGCCAAGCAATGCCGAGCAATGCCAAGCAACGCCAAGCAATGCCAAGCAACGCCAAGCAGCGCAAAGCAAGGCCAAGCAGCGCAAAGCCCTGCCAAAAATCGTCAAGCAACGCAAAACAGTGCCAAGCAACGCCAGGAATGCCAAACGATGCCAAACAATGCTAAGCAATGCAATGCGATGCCAAGCAATGCAAAGCAAATCCAAGCAAGGCCAAGCAATGTCGCGCAGACTGGGGTCGCGCCGGGTTCCTTCTCAAGAGGAGCGGAGAGGAAGGGACATCCCGACCAAGCGCCAAGCAACTCAGTGATGAAAGCCCTGAGCTTTTGAACCTGCCTCTGAACGAGCGCAAGCGGAGACGTGAGACCGGCGAAAACACGAGCAGGCAGCGTAGATGCCAAAATCGTCCCTTGGAAGAGGGAGAAAGAGAAGAGAGGGAGGACCAACTGGGAGGGAAGAGACCAGGCGTAGATCGAAGGCGGCACTCGCTCAGTAAAGCCCATCCCTGCTTGCTTCTCTGCCTCCGCCCCTTCCCGTCGTCCAGACTATCCTTCTCACTCTCACTCTTACTCTCACTCTGTCTGTGTGTCTCTGTCTCTCTCTCTCTGTCTCTCTCTCCTCACTCCCTTAATTAATGGAATACGCTCTTCTTTCTCATCTATGTTTGTACGTGTATACATATATACTGCGTATATATACATATATACACACACCCCAAAAAGTGTTTGGACCTAAGGGTTCTCACTTCTCTTCTAAGGAACTGGGCCTGGGTGTGGCCCCAGGGGGCCCGTTCACGTCCGTCGCCACCCCATATTTCCCAATAGGAGGCCCCTGTGCGGGCCCTGTGGTCCCGTTCCCGTCCGTCGCCGCCGCCCCGCTGCACCCCCCCCCCAACTGCATTGCAATCCAATCGCAGTGCATTGCACTCGCGTTGCCTTGCATGTCAATCGCGTTGCATTGCCTTGCTCTGCCTTGCTTTGCAATCACATTGCATTGCAATCGCATTGCATTGCACTGCCATCGCATTCAACCGCATTGCATTGCTTTGCTTTGCTTTGCTTTGACTTCCATTGCTGTGTTTTGCTGTGCACTACTTAGACTGCACCACATGAGTTGCACCAACTAGATTGCACCACATTGATTGTATCACCTGGTTGCATCGCATTGACTGCAAGCACTTACTGCTCGGGGTCCGCGCTGGCTAAAATAGGAATATATGGAGAGAGATAAGTGTAAATAGAAAACAACAACGACAACAACCACAACCACAACAACAACCATAAGTTCACGAGATATATAAATACGTATATAAATATAGATGTATAGATATAAATATACAGATAAACTTACATACATATGTCTGTGTCCCTCCCACGCTCTCTCCCCCTCTGTCCCCTCTCCTCTCCTCCGCATCCGTATGCTTTCGCCCTCCTCCTTCTACCTCCACATCCACTTCCGCCTCATCCACTTCCTTCCTTCACCTCATCCTCCTCCTCGTCCTCCTCGTCCTCCTCCGCTTCTTCACGCATACGGCTCACTCACACGCCGACCCACTCACACTCATATTCACGCATGCTCGCAGTCACTATCACCCAGGCCCACTCATACTCAGATCCACAGACCCACGTACGCTCAGACTCATTCATACGCAGACTCACCCAGGGCCAGATCCGCTCATACTCGCATTCGCTCAGAATCAGACTCACTCACAGTCAGACTCACTCACACGCAAGCGCGTGCATTGCCATACCTGCTCATCTTCGAGAGAGCGCGCCCGTGGCGCACTCCCAAAGGGAGGATCCCCCCTTAGCTACCACCCCCCCCCCCCCCCTTGGACCTGCCCTGCCGGAAGCCCCCGCCCCCCTCCTTCTTTCTCGCCCCTCGGAAGCTGCCCCCTCCCCCCTACCCTTTCTCGCTCCGGAAGCTGCCCACCACCCACCCACCCCCTTCCTTTCCCAAAAGGGAGGAGGGGGAGCTTGGCTAGTTACCCCCCACCCCCCTTGAACCACTGCAGTGAACCTCCCCTGCCAGAAGCCCCCCCCCTCCTTTTTCCTGCGCCTCGGAGGCTCCGACCCCCCTCCTTTCGCGCTATGGCGGAAGCTACTCCAGATTTCGTAATAAAAGGAGGGGGGTCTCATTTCGGGGGGGGTCTCTTCCAGGCTATCTTGGAGGGCCTGGGGGGTCTGGGGACGATGTTTTGGAGGGTTCTCCCACGGGGGAGGTCTGAAATGGCTTGTCTTGGAGGGTCCAGACCCCCTCCCTTTTATTACGAAATCTGGAGTACCCCCCCCCCCTCCCTCTCCCACCGGGGGGGGGGGGCCTTAGCTGTCCCCCCCCTCCCCCTGTGGACCTCCCCTGCTGGAAGCTCCACCCTCCCCTCCTGTATTTGCTCCTCGGACGCGAAGATCCCCCCCCCCCAACAGGCATCGAGTGCACAGAAAACTGCCACACCCAACGCTGCCCCGAAAGCCCAAAGAGCACGAAAAATCAAGGAGCGCGGAAACACGAAAGAGCGCGGAAATCCAGAGGAGCACGAAAAACGAAAAAGGCGCAATCGAACAGAACACCAAAAAACGAAATGAGCGCCGGAAACCAGAAGGGCGCTGAAAATCAAGAAAGCGCCGAAGACCAAAGGGCGCACCCGAAACCAAAAAGGCGCCGCCAACCAACAGGTCGCCAAACTCGACGGATGCGCAGAAAACAATGGCGCGACGAAAACCAAACAAGCGGCAAAAACCAAAGGAGCGCCGTAAACAAAAAGCACACCGAGAACCCGAATGGCGCCGAGAACTCAAAAAGACCGAAAGCCAAAGGAGCGCCGAAAACCAGAAAGGCGCCGAAACCCAAACGAGCGCCGAAAACCAAAGAATCAATAACGCGCCAAAAAACAAAAAGAGCGCCGACAACCACAGCGGCGCCGCAAACCAAAGGGACACCGAAAACAAAATATGTTCCGACGACCAACAAGCCGTCGAAAACCAAAGGAGCGCCGCAAACACAAAGAGCGCAGAAAACAACAAGAGCCGCCGAAGATAAAAAAAACGAACAAATCAAGACAGCGGGGGAAACTACAAATACGCCGAAAACCAAAGGACCGCCGAAAACGAGAAATGAGCGCCGAAAACCCATAGGGCGTCGAAAGCCAATCGGACGCCGAGAAACTTCGATTTGCCGAACGCCGACAAAGCGGTGTGCCAAAATGGGGCGGCGGCGCCATGCGAACTGCGCCACTGGGGCCTTCGGTGGAGCTCCCTGTGGGGCCACGAAACGTAGAGGGTATGCCAAAATGGGGCGGCGGCGCCATACGAGCTGCGCCACTGCGACCTTAGATGGAGCTCCGTATGGGGCCACGAAACGTGCGAGGTCTGTGCCAAGATGGGGCGGCGGCGCCATGCGAGCTGCGCCACTGGGGCCTCATGTGAAGTTCCCTACGGGGCCACGAAACGTGTAAAATTAGCCTGGCGGAGGACCCAACCATATGCAGTCGTGAATACCGCAATGGTGAATATCTGCTTCGGTGGCGTTCCCGATGGGGCCACGAACCGCAGGAGGGGTGCGCCGAATTGCGTGGCGGGGTACATGACACGAACGAAGACGATACGTCGATCTACGAGAAACTGAGCGCGGGTGAGTTTGAGCGCGAGTGAGTCTGAGTGTGAACGAGTCTGCGCGCGAGTACACATATTTGCATGAGTGCGAGCATGGCCACGCCTGGTGTGTATATATGTGTGTATATATATACATATATATATATGTGTGTAAATGGTTCACGTATGCCTAACCCTGAGTACTCGTGACACTGAGCGTGGCCGCCGCAGGAAGCTTCCCCTGGAACCCCGACAGCAGCGCCCGCACGCCGCGACGCCCATGTCGGCACGCCCCTCACGAGGATCGCGCCCGCTCCCTTCCCGATGTTTTTCTCCCTCTTTGCCCGCGCACGCCCATGCCCAAAGCTGCGGGCGCGGCGCCGCGCGGAGTTCCCGCGACGCGCGTTGGTCGCCCCGGAGGGGTCCCGGCGACGCGCGCGGGTCGCCCGCTGCGCGGAGCAGAGAGAGCTAGCTGGCTGGCTGATAGCGGGCAAGGCTGTGGCCGCTAGGCAGAGCGACGACGGGGGCGAGCCAGGCTCTGGGCAGAGCGCAGCGCGAATTCTCGCGACGCGCGCTGGTCGCCCCGAGAGGGTCCCAGCGACGAGCGCGGGCCACCCGCGGCGCGAGGCCAAACAGTCAGACAGTCGAGAGACGGCGAGGCTCGGGCGGGCCGCTCCTGAGGTCAAGCCTCGCGGATAAACTCGGTGAAGCTCAGCTCCCTGGCGAGGGCCGC